CTGGAGGTACCTACACTAACGGAATCACATCTGGTATTTAAAGAAAAAAGAAAGAGGCCCGGGGAGCTGTCAAATCTAATACACTTTCCCTCTAATCCAATCATGCAAAGTCCATTCATTTTGATGAGGCAGTCAATGCTTTTGCACTTTGTAGCCAGCATCTCTAGAAAAAACTGCCTTGTCATTACTCTTCAATCTGCCATCCTATTTGCCTCTAAGTGACTGACGTGGGTCCTTTGTTATTGCTACCCCCATCTGATCAGCATCCACCAGCCAAAGGGGTCAAATTGCATTCCAGGTTTCACTAAAGTAGGTGAACGGTTACAGTTTTAAGAATCTGACCAGCCTGCATAGATGCACAACTGTAAGCAAGGTAGGTCAACCAGGGTCTTGCCTCAGGGTACCAGTTTTGAACCTATGACAGAAACTATACTCATAGTCATTCAGCACATTTAAAATGCTGAGCTTAGCAGTTCCCTTCTTGCCCTGTTCCTCAGTGGCCAGCTCTTGCCTTCCCAGAAGCAACCTCGTGATATCCCGGGGGCCCCTTCCTCCCTCCCTCCCTCCCTCTACCGAATATCTTTAAAAGATGATCTGGGGTCATGTTTGGTATCACCTGCCTAAAGCAGAAAGTGGCTCATTATGGCCCTGTTCCTTATTCTAAATACTGCAGGAGCTGTGAGTGAGGAGGGAGAATCACCCAGTGCTGATACCTGAGGAAGACAAAGAGTACCTCCCAGGTGTCTCTGCTAAGCAAACTCCCCCATTCTGTGTTTCTTACATCACATTTAGGGTTTAGAGCTGGAAAATGACCTTAGATATCATCTAGTTTGACACCCTTACTTTAGGAAGAAACTGAGGTTTGGGGAGAAGAAACAGTACTATACCTAAGCAGTGATAATCAGGCAGCTAGGTGGCGCCATAGTGCACAGAGTAGGCCAGGAGTCATGAAGAATCCTGTCCCTTAGTTCAAATCTGAGCTCAGACACTTACTAGCTGTATGATCCTGGGCAAGTCATTTAGCCCTGTTTGCCTCAGTTTCTTCATCTGTCAAATGAGCTGGAGAAGGAGATGGCAAACCACTGCAGAATCTCTGCCAAAAAAACCCCAAATGGGGTCATGAAGAGTCAGACACGACTGAAAGGACTGAACAACAAAGCAGGGATTCTAAACTCAGTTCCCATCTCCCATACCAGTATCTTCTTTGTGTCCCAATAATGCCATCTGCTAGGTAGGACCCAGGAAGGGCCTGGGTGGGGAGGGAGAGTGGAAAGGGAAACCAACAGCCATAGCTTTGGGCCTGCATCCACCCCTCCTCCCAACCCTGTGACTTTCTCCCTGCTAGGTAGGATCTGGCAGAGTTCCATTTTAGAGGCAGACTTGGCCTACAGCAGCTCCAAGGATGATAGAAGGCTGGACAGCTCCCAGAGGGCACTGTGGGCCTGCAGTTCTGTCTGCATCATTCAGGCTGCTGATTTCTGCCCTGGGTTCTCTGAGCCTAGAAATCTGTGAGCTCCCATCCTGGGCCACAAAAACTCCGATGTCCAACCCAAGTTTATAATAAGGTCCTAGAATGTATTTTTTAGAATAAAGTCCTGGATACAGAGTAGGATAGAGGAACAATAGAGAAAAGAGGTTTGCAGTCTCTGCCCTATGCAACCCCTCTAGCCCAGGGTTAACCCTTTTGGAAGGTCATAGACCCCTTTGGTAGTTGGTGAAAACTAAAGATCCCTTCCTAGAATAATGCTTTTCAATCATTGAAGCAAACGCTAAATTTCAGTTAAAGACGAGTAAACACGAAGATATAGAATATTTTTACCTAAATTCACAGATCCCTTCCCCCAAATCTATCAAAAAACCCCTTGAGGGTATCTGCGGGCACCAGGTTAAGAGTCTCTGGTTTAGAGAATGAGAAAGAATTGCTTCCCTGTGGGAGGTTTCAGTCACTCTACATGTTTTATCCTCCTCCTACCTACATAGTCTGCTTTGAGGACCCTCTCTTATCCAAAACTGTCATGGCCCTCAGAGTCCAGTGTCCTTAAATAGTAAGTTCTTAATAACTTATTCACATTTAAATAATACTCTTAGATTTGCAAAATATTTTCCCCATCCCACCTGGGAGGTAGATAATATGTTAATTATCTCCATTACAAAAATGAGAAAAGATTTCTTTTTTCACAACCTCTTCTCTCTTCGGTGCCCCCAAACTATCTTTATCCCCTCTCTGAGGGCATCCCCTCCCACTGTATCCAGAAAACAAAGGAACTTCTTTGTAAATTAACTCTTCTTCTCCCAGTCTGTTCTACACTATTGCCCTAGTCTTCTCAATCCCGTCATTGAACTGAAACCACTTACCAATGCTTCTTAACTGCTAACTCCAACAGCCTTTTCTTGGTCAGCCCTCTTGACCTCTCTGGGGGTAATAAATAGCTAGCCTTTATATAGTGCTTTAAGCTTTTCAAAGTACTTTACAAACACAGATTATCTTAAAAGTCTTAGTGAAGTTCTAACTTTTAAAAACCAAACTATTACACTAAGGCTTTTTAGGAAACTCTGTATGATCTCTTTTGATCCTCATGAAAACCTTGGGAGGTAGGTGCTATTACTGTTATCTTCATTGTATAGAGGAGGAAACTGAGGCAAACAGAGTTAACTATAAATATAAATAAGTTGATACCTATAAACTATTAAACTATAAATACAGATAAGTTATTTGTCCAGTGACACACAGCTATTATGTCTGAGACCAGGCATGATCTTAGGTCTTGCTGACTCTAAGTGAGGGCTCTATCCACTGTGCCATGTAGCTGGCTTTGGACACTTCCTCTTCCTAGGTACTCTCTCCTCCCTGGGCTTTTATGACACTGGTTTTCCGTGGTTGTCTCACCGGTCTGATTGTTCCTTCTTTGTCATTATTGCTGGATCCAGATCCCATCATCTTGTAACCACGAGGGTCCCCAGGCTAAAGCTTAGGGCCCCCCTTTTTCTCTATACCCATTGGGGAATCTCATCAGCTCCCATGAGTTTAATCATCATCTCTATCCAGATGACTTCACATCTATGTATACAGCCTGTGTCTCCTTAACGTCAGCGCTACATTGCCATCCTCTGCCTGGATGTCTCAATAGCATCTGAAACTTTTGTTATTGTTCTCATTGTCATTCAATCATTTTTCAGTCATGTCTGACTCTTCATGCCTCCATTTGAGGTTTTCTTGACAAAGATGCTGGAGTGGTTTTGCCATTTCCTTCACCAGTTAATTTTACAGATGAAGAAACTGAGGCAAACAGGGTTAAGTGACTTGCCTAAGGTCACACAGCTAGTAAGTGTCTGAGGCCAGATTTGAACTCAGGGAGATGAGTTTTCCTGACTCCGGGCCTGGGTTCTGTCCACCGTGCCACCTCACTGCCCTGTGTCCAAAACAGAACTCATATCATTCCCTGTCCCCAAAACCCCTTCTCCTCCACGCTTCTCCATCCCCATCAAGGGCACCACCATCTTCTCTGGCACCTGTGATCACAATCTCAGTCATCCTCAACTTTTCCTTGTCACTCACTTAGGCCTTCTTTACCTTTTTGTCCCCCATTTATCACCTCTCTTCACTTCTAAAGTCTTAGTTTGGGCCCTCATAACTTCCTGCCTGGTCTATTGCAATGAAATTGCATGCTTGTAGCTCTCCCCTGTGCAATTCATCCTCCACAATCTGCCAAAATCATCTTCCTAAAGCATTCACCTGGCTATATCACTCCTCTGCTCAAGAAGTTTCAATGACTCCCTATCGCCCCTAGGATGAAATACCAACTTCTCAGTCATACATTTAAAGCCCTGCACAATCTGACTCTAGCTTACCTTTCTAGGCTCGCTACATTTTACTCCCTTTGACAGAGCTTCCATTCCAGTCAGACGGACCTACTGATTGTTCCTCAAACTCAGCATTGAACCTCCAACCTCCCTGCCTTTGTCCAGGCTTGCCTTTCTATTTGGAAAGCATTCCATCCTCAGCCCTGCCTCTTGGAATTTCGAGCTTCCAAAAGGCTTAGCTCAGGCATGTGCTCCCTTCTCCAGCAAGCCTATCCTGAGTGCCCAGTTGTGGCTCTGTCCCTCCTCAAACAATCTTCCATTTACTTACCTAGGTTCCATGATATATCCTCCGGTTGAACATGAACTCCTTACAGATGAGGACTGATTGCCTGTTTTGCCCTTATATGCCCCTAGAACCTGGCTCGGGGCCTCAGACATAGTAGGTGCTTCTGGAATTCAGTGACATGCTCACTGGACTTGATGTTGAAGGGAGAAACAAAGTTTAAGACAAAGTCCCTTCATGAAGCTCAGCTTAGCTTAGTCTAGTTCAGGGGTGGGGAATCTGCGGCCTCGAGGCCACATGTGGCCCGCTAGGTCCTCAAGTGCAGCCCTTTGGCTGAATCCAAACTTCACCGAACAAATGCCCTTAATAAAAGGATTTGTTCTGGAAAACTGAGATTCAGTCAAAAGGCCAAACCCGAGGACCTAAAAAGCCATGTATGTCCTTGAGGCTGCAAATCATTTGACCTTGAACTCAGCCTTGGAGTTTGGGCCCCTACCTGCTAGAGTGACCCAGTTCCCCAATAACCAATGGATCCTCTTGCTGCTACAACTACATTCTACCCACCAGACCATTCTTCAAGTTGAGCAGATCTTTGTCAGCCCCAAGCCACCATCCTAAAACATAAAGAAATGCTTCCCAGACATGTTTGCAGGCACCGGTGTTCACACAACTTTTTTTAATTTTTTGTACAAAAACATTTTTTAAAAAAAATAATCCATGATCTTGTCTGTCCCGTGGCAGATAATATCCTCAGCTTAGGGAAAATGCTTTCTAGGTACATCCTTACCCCCTCCCTCACCAACTTGTAAGAAGGCTCAGTAGTAATTCATGCAGAGGAAGGGGTAGCAAAGATAGCAAATCGCACTACTATGAATCTCTGAGCTGGAAGAAAGGGGAATAAAAGAAGCATAGAACATCACACATGTTTGTCCTGGCGTCGCCACTGTCTAGACAAGAGGAATGGCTGGACGAAGGACAGGAGAGTGAACAGTATCAGTGTGATGTTTACCTGTGAGAGAAGAGAGGGCATGATAAAGGCCATTGCAGGACCACCTCCGCCAAACCAATCACTAGGGCGAGGTAACAAGGGCTTTCCCACGTGCACCAAGATTTGTAGGGCGCTAACAGCATCTGTACTCCAGCGGGTAGGAACAACTAAGCATCTGATTAGTTAAAACAGGAAACTCTGAGGCATATTTCCTCCTTATTCCAAGTGAGTTCTCTTCTCTGACCTTACCCTAATCCCTCTTTCAGAGCCAGCCCAGTGTGAGCCGGGCTGTCTCTCTTCCTTCCCTATAGGACCTTGCGTCCTGAAATCTCCCTACTCCAAACTGAATTTATCTTTGAAATCAATCTGAGGGCTACTTTCCTCTGATATAGTGTGTGCTACTACCCCCAAGTGGTAGGGATTCTAGTTATGGCTGTGTCGTAGGTGACCCATATCTATTGTTCCATACTTTGGGTACCTTGCTCATTACAAAATGTTAAGGGCTAAAAGGGAATGTGGATAGCAACTGGTCATAAGCTTATAGAGCTATAAAGGACCACCGTGATCATTTAGTCCAGCCTCCTTACTGGACAGGAGAGGAAACTGATGCCCATGATGATGAACTGACTTACCAAAGGTCATACAGGTATTAAGCGTGAGAGGTGGGATTCAAATCCAAGCCCTCTGACTCCTGAACCAGCCTCCACAATCCCAGCTAGTCTGACCCCTCCATTTCCCATGTACAGAGAGAAAGCAACTCACTCAAAGTTACACAGCTGGTTGTTAACACATGAAATGTCAACGTTATCTTCTGACTCCCAGGGAAGCCTACTAAGCCCAGCACTCTTTGGGAGGCATCTAAATGAGCCTCCAGGGACGTGTGAACTTCTACAAAGCACTTTTGAGAAATGAAAGCAGCATAGAATGAAAGGAACTCTGGCTGCACATCCTGGCTTTGGCCTTTGTGACCTGTGTGACCTTAAGGGAATTATTTACCTGAGGCCCAGATAGTTTCTCTCACCTGTAAAAGGAAAGGCTTGGGCCAGATGACCTCTGAGGGCTGCTGACAGTTTGGATTCTATAATCTCATTTCAGCCTCAGGAGAGACCAGGAAGGCAAGCAAACCTCCCTTAGTTAGAGAATTCTGTTCATTGGACAGATGAGGAAACAGAGGACCATAGTGGTTCCAGCATCATGGGCACGATCCCATTAGCTAATGAATGGCAGAAATAGGGCCTTTATCTAGGTTTTCTGCCTCTCATTCTTTGGCTATTTCCAGATAAAGCACATGCTAGGGAGTTTGGCTCAATGCAAGTCTTCTGGTTTTACCAGATGGATCCTATTTTGTTTGTAAGACGGACTTAAATTAAAAGTTTCTAGTTCCCCACCCACCTACCCCAGGTTGAGTTTATCAGGCTTGTTGTGTCCTGGGAACACAGACATAAATCTGGAAGGGACCTTAGAGGTCATAGAGTCTAAACATCTCATTTTCCAAGAGAGGAAACTGAGGCACTGAGAGATTAAATGACTTGCCCAAAATCACACAGGTTATAAGGGGTGAAAATAGTTTTCAAACCCAGGTACTGAGTCTAAACTCAGCAAGCATTCTGCTCCATGGAGCTACCTCTCCTTTTTGACTTCCTTTACTAATCCAGGAGGCCCTCAGCCACAGTCCCTCATGGGGCGCTCCTGAAAAACCCCTTACACTATAGAGGATAAGCACAAAATCACCTTTTTTCGCCCATCTTCCCCCTCCTCTCATTTATTGGTCATCCTCTTCCCCAGGGGCCAGGCCTTCTCATGTAAGGTGAGGGAGGGGTTGTCACAGGGATGTTACTTACATAAGTAGGGTCCCCCTGGAGTGTCCCCTTGATGAAGATGAAGATGGGAAACTGCAGTAGTGAGATCAGTGCTGATAACATCATGACTGTCCCATAGATCTTCCCAAAGTGCTGGGAAGGAAAGCTGTGGAAAAACATGGATGTGCCCAGTGAATCATCCTGCCTCTCCCACTCTAGGGCTTTCCCAGTAACTCAGGCTTTGCCTATGTTCCTTACTGCCCTGTTCTCCCGATCTTTTTTCTTTTAGGCTCAGAATCCCGGGATTTTAGAAATGGAAGGGACCTCTGAGATTGCCGTGTTCAATCTGCTAATTTTACAAAAAAAAAAAACCAACACAAAAACCCAAAGCTGAGGCCCAGAGAGACAGTGTGCCAAAGATAATGAGTAACTGAATCAGGACTTGAACTCTGGTCCTCTGGTGCCAGGGTGCCCTTGCTGATCCACTAAAGTAGCTCCAATGCCAGGGTGGGTGATTTTCTCAGGGTGGATGCCATCTCTACCAACGTGCAATATAGCTTATCCATATTTGACTATAGGGTCTTTGAATTACCACGCCTGTCCACCAAAAAAAAAAAATTTAAGTTAATGGTTTCCCTTATAAGAATTTTTTAAAAGATGAAGTGGGAAAAAATGTCCATTAGCCAACCTTCTTGAAGAAGACTAGCCTTCAATAATAAAAGGTGCTAGTGGTATTATCAACATCTTCTCACTACAAAGTGCATTACCCATTCTATTGACTGAAATTCCCTATAGCCCCATGAGGTAAGTAGGCCAGGATGATCTTCATTTTAGAAGGAAACTGAAGGTCAGAGAAGTCAAGGGATTTCTCCAAGGAAATCACTTAGTGAATGGTACAGCCAGAATCAAATACCAGGTCTGGCCTCCCTAACATCCTTTCCTTTCTACCTCATGACCCCTGTCCTCTGTCTCTAGAGCTTATCATCTCGCCACCTTCTCAGCTCCAGCTTTCCATTTCCAGTGACCTCCAGCCTCCTACGCTTCTCTCCAGAGAACTCACCTCAGAAACTCAGAGTAGAAAGAGTCCATCCCTTAGCCGAATAGGATCTCTTCTCTCTATCATTCCTATCAAGTAAGTGTCTCACTTCTGGCTTGATAACCAATGGGGAGAGAGAACTCACAACCTCCAAAGTCAGCCCGCTCTATTTGGGGAACAGCTCTGTTTTTAGCGAGTTTTTCCTGATCTCCAAGTCAAATTTACCTCTTTGCAACTTCAATCATTGCTCCTGGTTCTACCTTCTGTGGCCAAGCAGACCAGGATGGAGTCTCCTTTCATGTGACAGAAACTTTAAGAATACTTACTTAGATAGATACTTGAAGTACTTTAAGAACTAATCTTCTCTTCTTTAGGCTAACCACCCCTAGTTCTTTCAACCCATTGTCCTATGGCAAGACCTCAAGACCCTTTACCATCTGTGTTGCCCTCAGGCTGACTAACATCAGTCCCAAAATGTGGTACCAAGACCTGAACCCCAGATGTTTAACCAGAACAGAATCAATATCCAATGGCCATCTTCCTGGTCCTAGACCTTATGTCTCCCTGGGATTTGTTGTACCTTTTTTGATGGCTATATCCAGCCAGCATTTCTCCAGCTTAAAGTGCACTTAAGTCCTCAAATCTTCATCAGAAAAACTTCTGTAGGCACAATTACCTTCAAGTTATCCTTAAAGCCCGAGTGTTTTTTTTTTTCAGCTCAAATGAAAAGCTTTTCATTGACCTCTATTGTTTCATCTTGGTGGGGTAACAAGCATACTGGAGAAAGAGCTGACTTTGAAACCAGGAAGATCCAGGTTCAAGTCTATATACACACATACACTTACACATATATGTGTGCGTGTATATATTACATATGATATATATACTATTTTATCCTGAGCAATTAATTCACTTAACCTCTTAGTACCCCTAGCCAGTTCTCTAGAACTAAGCTGCAGAGGTGCCAGCCTGCATTGGCAGCACTTCGCATGGGAGCTCACCATATCAACAAAATCACAGGTCTAATTGATGTCCCTAAGTTTTAGCTTATCAGACACAGCCCAACATTCTATCTTGCCAAGCTCTTCCTGAATCCTGATTCACCTGCAAACTCAATAAAGACACAAGCGCTCCGAAGGCAGGCTCGTTTTCACTTGTTTGTGCATGCCCAGTACCTATTGTTGTTGATGTCCATCCTTCCTTTTGGAAGAGGACCAGTGACGTCATGAAGCGATGATTGGATGTGAGGCAGAATTGCACAAAATCATCAGCCTCACTCTCTCCTCCAGAGTCATCAAAGTCCAGTGGCAGAACGAAAGTCAAGACTACTGGTGATTCAGCGGATGCAGCGGATGAGCTTGGCGTCTTTGATGTCTACCCAAGCTCTAAGTGTTCCACAGAGCCAGCTTCATGACCACTGGAACAAATGATTCTCATCCACCCATTCTCCCAGGGGAAGTCTTCACATGCTTGGGGTAGATAACCCTAACTCACCGGTGGGTTTGAGACATATTGGTTACCATCCACCTGGTTTAGCCCCTCTGCCAAGACAGTTCTAGTGGAGTGTGGCTGCTGTGCATTCTACGTCTTCCTGGAGTCACAGGTGAGAGCTGGGTGACACCAAAGGTAGGTGAGCAGCCCTGAAGAGCTCAGCAAGCCCTCACATTAGAGGTTCTAGTCCTCTCTGCGCACCCTATACACCCTGATACATAGTAAGTACTTAATAAATGCTTGCCGAGCAATGGACTTATTCAAGTGATTAAAAGCAACATCAAGCAGCAGAGAAGTGAGCATAGAGTCTTAGGGCACTTCACTGAAGATCTCTATCTAAAATTAACACTGAAACTGTTAGTGACTACTCCGTGATTGTCAACATTCACCCAGCTCCAAAGCCAATCATTAATCATCTAACTCCCACCTTCCTTCTTTATCTCTTGTCCATCCTTTGGCCCCATTTCATAGGGGCTAGAACGGGTATCTACCCCTTTGCCCTAGAACACACACACATATATACACTTCCCTCCTCCCTGCCTTAGCCCCACTTACGCCAGTGTGATGAAGGCAGCATTCCCTCCATACAGGAAAGACCGACTGATAACTTGAAGGATGAAGGTGAAATACTGGAGTTTAAGAATGGGAATAGAGGCACAGATGGAGAAGCTGAGGCACAACAGGGATGTTACAACCAAGGATGGGAAGGTAGAGTGAAGGTCTGCCATAGACTCTGGAAAACCTGGTCCGGGAAGAGATCCTGGCTTAAGTCAGAGTAAAGATAGAGGCAGCGGTGCAAGGTGGAAGGTGGAAGGGCCCAGGAGAAAGGGAAAAAGTGGGGTAGGGAGGAACCTCGAGGGGAAGAGTAAGATCGGGAGAGCAGAGGTTAGGAGCAACAGGCTTTGTACTGCCAGTGGTACATTTCAGCAAGTAAAACAACATTCTTGAAGCTAGTAAATCAAGAAACTAACCAAATTGTGAGTTTCTTTCCCCACTCCCCAGGCTATCTCTTCTCCCAGGTTGGCCTCTTCTCTTTCCCATTTACTGCATCATGGTGTCCTGCCCATGGGCTAACTCTGTCACTAGCATGACATAGATTTTGGTCCTCTCCACCCATGGAACCTTGTATCCTGAAATCAGAAGTCACCCATCTCTTAGGTCTCTTTCTTCCCAACCCTACTGTCCCACTGAATGTGTATTACAATTTGTCAAAGACACTGAAATTACTAATTTTGGCTCTTAGGAAGGAGGGAAAGGAGGCAAAACAAAGAAAAAGGTAGACAGAAGGAAACAAACTTATAGAACAGGTTCCAGGGCCCTGGATAGAGACACAGGTCTCACCTTTTTTTCTTGCCTCTTGCTGGTATTTTTTCTTAAGGCGATCCAACAGGAATCCATTCCAGGGGGCACACAGAACCCCAAAGAGTTGAGTGATGGCAAAGGCATTTGTATAGGTGCTGACTGTAATGGTTAAAGGGTGGTGGTAAAGAAGGAAGAATCAGATCTGAGTAGAGGAATGTCTAGTCAACCCCTACCTGTCCCTGTTGTACCACTCCAAACTCATTTTTTTCTTGGCCTTTCTTGGTATCCACCGTGCTTTAGCACGGTTGTCTGGAACATAGTGAGCACTTAATAAATGCTTAACAAAAGCCAGGCACGGTGATACATGCCTGTAATCCCAGCTTGCAGGGAAGTTGAAAACAAAGGATCTCCTGAGCTTGGGAGTTCTAAACTACAATAGGTTACACTGATCGGATACTAAACACACTAAGTTTGGAGTCAACGTAGTGAGCCGTTGGGGTGGGATGGGGGAAACCACCAGGTTGCCCAAAGAAGAGAATTAGCCCAAGTCCAAAATGGAGTAGGTCAAAGCTCCCATGCTGATGAGAGAGGGATTAGGCCCATGAACAGCCCCCTGCATTTCCAGTCTGGGTGAGAGAGGAAGGCTCAGTCCTTTTTAAAAATTTAATAAATGTTTGCTATTGCTGATGGTGATGATAAGGTCAGCTACTCCAATGCTGTACAGGGGAAGCAAATAGGCCCAGAGAAGGTAAATGACTTGTCTAAAATGACCAATGAGCCAGTGACAGAGGCAGGGCTAAAAACCCAGGGCCCTCTTCCCTCATAGGCTAGTGTTCCTTGCAGATCTCTAGTAATGACATTCTGCCCCAAGAGGGCTAACTTCACATAATGGAAAGATGCTGGTTGTGCCAAGAGACACAGCTTCCAATTCCAGCCACTAAGGGATCACGAACAAGTCATTCAACTTCACTGAAAGGCAGCCCAGTGTAGTAGATAAAGCAATGGCCTTAGGAGTCAGAAAACTTGGATTCAAACCCCATTTCGGGCACTCACTAGTTGTGTGAGCCTCTCAGCAATGAAATTCCCTCAATCTATACAAAATGAGGGAGTTGGGCTCAATGACTTCCCATCTATTCCAACTCTAAGTCTATGACCCTATAGTCCATGGACCTGTTTTCTCATCATCAAATCGAGGATGATCCTTGTAGTGCCTACTTCCCATGACCTTGTCAAGGAAAGCAGTTTGGAAACTTTAGTGAGCTAAAGAAACAGGATTTCCATTGGATTCCACATCCCTTGCTGGCATCAGAATTTGGGCCAATGAGCTCTCTCCATCACACATACACACACTAGGCCCAACAGCCCCTCATCTGCCCTCCAGGCAAGTACCTAGATGTTGTTTTCCATCAGCCAGATGGTTCAGCATGGGGTTGAGGGTCCCAATGAAGAGGTAGTGCCACAGTTGCATCGAAGACAACCAGATCAGATGCCAAAAGAATCTCCAAGATAGCACACAGCACCGGAAAGAGCGAGGATCACTCTCGTCAGTCTTGGCCATCTCTGATGAGGAAAAAAGAACCCTGACACGATCGGGGAGAGGGGAGGAGAAGGGAAGACTACAGGGACAGAGAAGATGGAAATCTGGAGAGATTATGGCCAGCAACTGAGCAATAGCAATACCTGTCATGACAGGCAACTAGGTATGGCAGTGAATAGAGCACTAGACTTGTATTCAGGAAGACTAGAGTTCAAATCCTGCATCAGATACTTTAGTTGTATGACCTTGGTCAAATCATTTAATATCCTGTGCCTCGGTTTCCTCCTCTGTAAAATGAGGGTAATAATAGCACCTGCCTCACAGGATTTCTGTGAGAATCAAATGAGATAACCTAGGTAAAAAACCTTAGAAACCTTAAAATGGTATGCAAATGTTAGCTATTACTATGACCTATAATCCACAGGTAGGCTATATTGGGCATGGTGTGGTATAGCAGATAGACCGCTGAACTTGGAGTCAGGAAGAACAGAGTTCAATGTTATCTCAGATTCTGACTAGCTGGTGTGACTCTGGATAAGTCATTGAGCCTCTCTGTGCCTCAGTTTCCTCTGTTATAAATGAGGGGGTTACAATAGATGGCCCCTAAGGCCCCTTCCAGCTCTCAGTCTATGATCCTCTGTCTACCACCCAGCCATTCCTCACATTGCTTTACCCTATGCTCACCCTTTGCATCCGAATAGACAAGAAACTGCTCGCCATTATGAATCCTATGAGTTGGGATGGACCTCAGAGGCCAGACAGTTCAACCCAAGCCTCTCTACACGTGGCCATCTTGGTGCCACTTAAAGACGCATAATCCCGGGGCCAGTCACTCCATACAGTGACAATGCCAGACCATTTTGGAGCAGCTGGAATTGTTACCAAGTTTCTCATTACAATGAGTCTAAATCAGTCTCTGTGAAACTTCCACTTATTTATTGTCCTTAATATTTCCCTCTGGGATCAAACAGAATGAGCCTCCTTCGTCTTTTAGAAGACAGCCCTGCAAATATTTGGAAGCAGACGTTATATTCCCCCTGCCTTTTCCTAGCTCACTCTCTCCACATTAAACATGCCTAGTTTCTTCACCTGATCTTCCTATCATCACACTGTCCTAGTACTCTACCATGAGTAGGCTTCACCTTGGCAATATCTATCCTAAAATACGGCTTCCAAAACCAAATGGGGGATTCCTAATGGGGTCCTATTGAAGATTCCCTCTGCCTGTAAAACTTTCCCTGTTTGAATATCTCTTCATTAAAAAATACTACCTCCTCCACAAGTTTCTCTGACGCTCCCATCCAGAAGTGGCCTCTTTTGGAATTCCCATAGTCCTTCAGCTATTACTCTCACAGCACTTAGTGTTGTTGTTGTTGTTGTTGAGCTATTTTCTGTCTTGTCTGACTCTTTGTGACTCCATTTGGAATTTTCTTGGCAAAGGTACTGGAGTAGTTTGTCATTCCCTTCTCCAGCTCATTCTACAGATGAGGAAACTGAGGCAAATGGGATTGAATGACTTGCCCAGGGTCATAGTAAGTGTCTGAGGCTGGATTTGAACTCAGGAAGATGAATCTTCCTAACTCTGGGGCCAGTGTTCTGTGCTGTACCTAGCAACATCATGGCACTTAGTACATCCTGTCTTTTATTTGTCATTCATCCTCCTAAACTTCTGAAGTATGGAGACTTTGTCTTAATCTTGCCTGCCCCCGGGGTGTGGCTTAGGAGGCTTCCCATAATGAGTGTTCAAAAGAGGCTATATGGAGTATTCCAAGAGTATTTGACTTGGAATCATGAGCCCTGGCTTCAGATTCTTCTCTAACATTTAATAAGCTGGGTGATCACGGAGAAGTCTTTTAACCCTCTCTGAATCCATTTCCCTCATCTTTAAAATTGTTTTAAAAAAATATGACAACCACCTGCCTCATGGGATTGTTGTAAGAAAAGCATTATATTAGCCTAAAAGTGCTAGAAAAATGGTTTCTCACTTGTTTGTTCCAAGACCTCTAATTATCATCATGGAGAACTCCTGGGGTGGATAGTCTCTCTAAGGCAGACAGAAGGCAACTCTTTTATCATTTAAGGGTCCAATACTAGGTGGCTCACATTGACATAATGCTTTAAGGTTTGCCAAATGCTTCCCATATATTATCTCCTTTGACTTTCATGATACCTTGAGTTTGCTGTTATTACTACTGAGACGCACAAAGTTAATACTGTCTAAGGCAGGATTCAAACCCAGGTCTTCCCAAGGTCAAGCTCTCTGTCCTAAAAATCAACTAGCCACCTAATCTGATAATGTTTAAAACCTTAGAAAATTGCCTGGGGACACTGAGAGGTTAAGAGATTTCCCTGTGTAGCAGGGTGGAGTCAATAAAGAGTCCTGGATCCAGGTTCAAATCTAGCCTCTGATCCTTATAGACCACATGACCAAAGGCAAATCACATATCTTTTAAGCCTCAATTGCCTCACATGTAAAATGGGAATAATAAGACCGGTAGTAACTATTTCACAGGGTGCTAGTCAGCATAGATGATATACACATAAATATAAATAAATGTATATCTATTAGGTGTTATATACATATATGTATATAAAAAGCAATTTGAAAACCTCAAGACATAATATAGGGAGTCCTATAAAGTCTGAATCTTAAAGCTCTCAGCTTTGAGCTATTAAAACTTAAAACTACTGATTTTTTGACACACAGTATAAATGTTAATTAATAATAATAATAATGTGTTATGCAGGATTTGAACCTACATCTTCCTTACTTTAAGGTCAACCTTCTCTACTAGACTACGCTGCAATTATTAATTGTAAGTATTTGTTGAATAGATAAGTAAGATCAAGAGGAAGAAAAATATAGACTAGATTGGGGGGCGAGAAATCAGAGATTATCAACTTTGCATTAGTGTCAATAGACATTGGATGACAACTTCCTTCTTTGTGGAAGTAGGGAACGATGAGCGTGAAACACTTCATACTCTCAGACTCAGCTGATGTACTGAGTAGTTTTGCTGAGTTGCCTCTCCATGGCTCCCTTCTTTCAGTCTTTGTTAAGGAATAGAGGGGAGGAGAGAGAGAGAGAGAGATCTGAAAATGAAAGTCATGCAAAAACAGATGACATGAAAAAGATTTAAAAAGTAGTGTTGGAGGGGCTAGAGAAAGGGGTCTCAATGACAGATGGACTTCCAGAGAAGGGCAATGAAATCTGCATTGACCCTGAGGATGACCAGGTGAAGGGAAAGGCAGAGATGAATGAAAGCAGATGAGAGAAAGAGGGACTGGAGGCTTACCTTGCTGAACAGCTAGGGAGGGGCCATTGGCTTCCTGCCTTAATTCCACCTTTTCCTTCTTGACTTCTTCATCTTCTGTTCCTTGGGATCTCTCAGCTCTCCTTGAACAGCCAATGCTGAGGAAACAGGTGCCCCCACCCAGCCCCCAGAACACAGTCAAGTTTTCTTCAACACCATGTCTCAAACACCCACAAATGTGCCAGGTACTCTACTGGACACTGGGGGTAGGAACACAAAAATAGTCCCTGCCTTGAAGTAGATAACATTCCACTGGGGCTGGGGAAGCTCATAGGCAACCGCAAAAGAAATCTTGTGTTCTTGGTTGGGGGGGGGCAGGGTGTAGGATTCTGGCCAGGATAACATACTGTAATGTGAGATAGCTTTGTTTCTCATTCCCCATCCCCCACCCCTCCACCACCTGCCCCCACCTGGTCTCAGTGCCCTGGGGTAATAATGTTGGCCTCAACCTCTGTCCTATCCCCCATCAGAGGTGACTCTACCTAAAGGAAAGGCTAGACCTTACCCATAGCTGTAGTTGGGTGGCAATGGAAAGGGTATGTGCCCCCTGGGCATGAGGAAGAAAGTACGGATGAGATGCCAGATGCTAAAGGCGCAGAGGATGAAGAAGGAGATTTGGAGTGTCAGGCCCCGCTCATAGAGAAGCTACAGAAAGAAGAGTAGTAGGTCAACAAAGCTGTAGGACTTTAACACAGAGGCTCATTCAACCTGGTGTCTTGGGGATGGCTACATTGAGGACATCCGCTATATGAGCCAGAGCCAGCTTCATGATCTAATATCCATCTCCTCAGGATTGTGGGAAAGGTCTTGGTAGAGCCTTTGGAACCCAAAAATCTCTTCCTTACCTTACACTCACACACACACACACACACACACACACACAAATCTGGCATGGTGCCTGAAATTCTACCATTAGTTTTATCTCTCTCTGGGCTTTAAAAGAGAGACTTTAAGAGTCTCTTATAATTAGATCACTGGGTGAAAGGAATCTTAGAATGGAATAGATTCAGAGACCTGAAGCTGAAGGGCACCCATCTAGTCCAACCCTCTCATTTTACAGATAAGGAAACTGAGGCCAAAAAGGTTAAATGATGTTCCCAAGACCACACAGTTTGGGGCCACTAGGTGGCACAGTGGATCGAGCACCAGCCCTGGATTCAGGAGGACCTGAGTTCAAATCTAGCCTCAGGCACATAACACTTACTAGCTGTGTGACCCTGGGCAAGTCACTTAACCCCATTGCCTAACCAAAAAAAAAAAAAAAACACCACACAGTTTGTAAGATGAAAGAGACCTTGGGACAGACTATTAAGAACTGAAAGAACTCTTGGAAAAATAAAATGTCAGAACAGGAAGGGATCATAGAACACAGAATGTTAATGTTGGAAGGGACCTTGGAAATCATTTCAGTTCCATCCCTTCAATTCACCAATGAGGCAATTGAGACTAGAGAAGTGAGATGATTTATCCAAGATCATATAACTAGGTAATTAATGGGAAAACTGAAACTGGATTCTAGGCATCCTACCCAATCCTAATTCTTTATATTTTACTTCCTTGACTCTGCTACTATGGGGGCAAGCAAATGGTCACACCTTAAGCTAGAGCATCATTTTAAAGAGGTATGTAAGAATTCTGAAAAGGGTGGGTGCTTCACTTGGAGTCGGGATGAACAGAGTTCAAGCACTGCCTCAAAAACATATTAGCTAGGTGACTCCTGGGCAAATCACTTAACCTCCCTTGGGTTCAGTTTCTTCATCTGTCAAATAATAGGATTGAACTCAATTGTCTCTAACATATCGTTCAGCTCTATGATCCTTTGACTTCGGTTGGGCTGAGAGCTGGCTCTGGTCCTGAAGAAGTCAGCATGTTACTAAGTCCTAAGAGCTTTACCTACAGAGCTCAGTCAGCATTGTTAACAAAGGCCAAGGGGCAAAGGTGAAAAGAGAGGGAAAATAAGAGAACCACGTCCAGCCAAACCAGGCTTTTTACTGTTCTTCATGGGCAAAATTTCCATGTTCTGCTGCTGAGCATTTGCAACAGCTATCCCCATTGACCACCTTCCCTCTCTACTGAACACATACAAACATGCCTGAAATATTCTCCTCCTCCACTCTGTCTCTTGGAATCTCTACCATCCTTCAAAACCCAGCTCAAACATCTTCTACGTGAAGTCTTTCCCAATTCCTTCAAGATGCTAGTGCCCTACCTCCCCAAATGACCTGGTGTTCATGTTGAGATACAGCTAGATAGATATACATGCACACACCAATGTATGTGTATATATATGTGTGTGTATATATGTATACATACACTTATATAAGGGCAGCTAGGTAGATGTTCAAATCTAGCCTCAGGCACTTTCTAGCTGTGTGACCCTGGGCAAGTCACTTCATCCTATTTGTCTTAGTTCCTCATCTGTAAAAGGACCTAGAGAAGGAAGTGGCTAACCACTCCAGTATCTTTGCCAAGAAAACCCCAATTGGGGTCACAAAGCCTTGGACATGACTTAAAGACAATCAAACAGCAACATACATCTATATGTATGTATATGTATAAACCTACACACACACACACACACACACACACACACACACACACACTTTCTATATAATGTTGTCTCCCTCAAGTAAGAAGAATGTAGGACGGCCCTATGACCTCTCAGGTCCAGGAGCGCCATGGGACTAGATTGGGTGTGTGTCTGTTTGGAGTTCCTAGGAGCCCTCCTCATATCTGTGAGGACCACACAGCGATGTCAGGGCAACACATCTGATGACTCAGATGACAGCAGCCATGTGGAGTCAAATCTCAGTATGGGATAGCAGACAGAACACCAGCTCTTGAGTCAAATGGTTGAATCTGGGTTCAAATTCCATATCTGAAAGCAAGTCACTTAGATTTCCCAGGCCTCAGTTTCCTTTTCTGTCAAACAGAGGCTGAAGCAGCTGGCTTCTAAAGTCTCTTCCAGCTCTATGACCATATAGTCCCTTGTATTCTGCCCCTGGTCAACCTCCATGACTTCCGACCTATGCACTCAGTCTGAGTGCTTCAGGACCTACATTAACTTCAATGAGCTCATTTCATCTGTGAATCCGATCCAGTATTTATTAAGTGCTTACTGTGTGTACAGGGCATTATGTCAAGTTCTAGGGATATAGAGAAAAAAAATGATTCCTACCCATAAGAAGCTTATATTCTATGGGGTGGGGGTGGGACATACAGCAGGTATACAAATAAATATATACAAGACTGGGGGAAGAGGAAGGTAAGAACTAAGAGGAGCAGGGAAGGCTTCCCAAAGAAGAAGGCCCATGAGCTAAGCCTTAATACACCCCGTGCAAAGGCACAGAGGAAGGAGATGAGGACCCAAACAGGTCATTTTGGCTGGGAGAGTAGGGGATTAATGTGCAAGGTGCCTGGAAAGATAGATGGGCAAGACACTAGCTATAGGGCCAAGGACTTCTTCTTGTCTTATTTCATCCTAGAGGTAATAGGTAGTCATGAAAGTTTCTTGGGTAGGGAGGTGATATGGTCAAATCAAAAGATGGATGAAAGAAGGGAGGGAATGGAATCCAGGAATCAATTAGGAGGCTAAGAGAAAAAAGAAAAGGGAATCACAAGGGAGGTTACAAAAATGACAAATATGCCCAACAGCTCCATTCTATGGCCAAAAAAAAAAAAATGAGGAAATGCCCCAAGCCCTTGAAAGAAAACGCCTGCCACTCTGGTCAGCCTCTCTCTGAAAGTGTTTCAAGGATAGAGTGGGGGGAGAGGGGAGGAATAAAAATACCTTAATGATGAGAAAGATGGCAGAGGAGGAGTCAAATGCCCCATTGTAGAGGGTGATTATGGTAGATCGATGTTTGTCAAACAAGTTCCCCACCTGGAGGATGGATAACCAACACGCTATTAATATGTACCCATGTACACAAAATATGTTCCTTGAACATAGCTCCTGACAAGAGGCCTAGGCAGGAATAACTCTAGCCCCTGTGCATCACAGCTGTGGGAGCTCAGTTTGGAAAGTTGCTTCTTCTTCCTTTTTCCTCGTCCCTTCCTTCTCCCCCCTTACTTTCAGGGAAAAGAGCAACCGAGTGAGGACACACCTGCAAATTGGTAAGCAGAAACAAAATGCCTCCAACAGCCAGCATTGGGAAGGCCGCAAAGAGCATCGGTGCTGTGCCTGGAAAGAACAGACAGAGGTCACAGGAGCTTTAAACTCAGTTCATTTCTGCTCCCCTCTCCCTTACCTGAGGGGACATCAAACCCACAGGCCCAGATTCAAATAGACCTTAGATCTAGAACTTCTCCAGTCTTCAAGCCTACCCTATGCTGCTGCACCTCCAGGAAACCCACTTCACTACTTCTTTTCCTTGACCTCTTATAGGACTTTTAGTCCTTGCCCCGTAATTCCACAATTAGCTAGTCTTGCACACTTGTCTCTCCAACAACAATCAACAACAATCTGCTCCTCTCCCTGCCTGGAAGGCTAAGGGTGACTTTTCCATATCCACCCCAGGCTAACTACTCCCAGGCATTCTGCCCAGCTGACAGTCCTCCACTTAACAAAGGTGGGGCTCCCTACAGTTGTTGAGATATTTCGAAGAAACCAAGCTGAAGAGGGGTAAAAAGAATGAAGATACTTCTGCTTACTAGAGGCAGGTAGGTGGAACAGTAGAGAGCACTGGGCCTGGAGTCTGCAAGAACACAGGCTCAGACACTTACTAGCTTTGAGACCTTGGGCAAGTCACTTAATCACTGTCTACCTCAGTTTCCACAACTGTATGTTTTTTTGTTTTTTGGCTAGGCAATGGGGTTAAGTGACTTGCCCAAGGTCACACAGCTAGTAAGTGTTAAGTGCCTGGGGCCGAATTTGAACTCAGGTCCTCCTGACTCCAGAGCTGGTGCTTTATCCACTGCACCACCTAGCTGCCTTCCACAACTGTAAAAAGGGAATACTAATAGCATCTACATCTATATCTCAGTGTTGTGAGGATCAAATGAGACAATATTTGTAAAGAACTTAGCACAGTGCCTGGCACACAGTAGGTGCTTAAAAAGGCTTATTCCTTTGGTCCCATGCCAAGCATCCTGCTCCCTTCTATTTCGTTGGCACTCACCTGCAGAGGAGACAGCTACAAGAAGCGTGGCCCCCGCATAGAGAAATCTGAAATACAGAATAGGAGAAGGGACTTGTCAAAAGAGAACATTCCAGCCCCACAGTGAAAGAATGAAGTGACTGTATATTCCCTGCTTGGGGCCCACTTTTTTATTATTTTGGGTTGGTTGTTTGTTTGTTTGTTTTAATTTTCTTTTCGTTGTTCAGGAGATGGGCAAGAGAGATTTTCTCTGCAGTTCCAAGGCTGTAGAAGACCTAGGTACTGAGAAAGCAGCTAGCCTGAGGGGAGAGAGGGAGAAAAGGAAAAAAGGTTTAAAGAGTCAGGCCACAAAAAGGACTTGGGGCAATCAGGTGGAAATAAGGGAAATTTAAAATGAGGTGATTAAAGAGAATGGGAGGGAAGAGAATGTGGATCAAGAGGCCTGGCCTGTCTCTCCAGAGAGCCCTAAGTAGTTTACAATCTTGGGAATAGAATATACCATGAATGGACAGAAAGGGGGGTTCCTTTCACACTAAAAACAAAGCAAAAAACAAACAAACAAACAAACAAACCTAACAAGTAGTTGGAAGATCAGTCAGGATGTTTCTAGGTAGTGGGGTTCAGTGGAAGGAGCCCTGATCTTTGACCCAAGAAATCTAGGCTGGAGGCACAGTAATGAGATGTATGAGTTAAGTGACTCTGGTTGGGTCATTGAACTTCTGTGACTGGGTTCTCATCTAGGCAGTATTAGTTTTACTGTCTGCCTCACCAGTTCTTGGGAGGAAAGGCTATTGTAAGCTTTAAGTCAATGGAGAAATGTGAGCTCTTATTACTACAAAGTACATTTCTCACCTCCCTATAACAAGACCAGACACACCCTAATAAGCCCCTCCAGGAAGGAGGCAGATGGGGTTATTCTGGTTGTCTTGATGGCAGATGTAGGTAGAGCAAAGGTAGAGACTGGGACACAGTGTAACAAATCACAGTAGATTAATTAGTGGAATGTATTATAATGTTATATAAGAAATGACAAATCTGAAGAATTTGGAGAAACTTGAAAGGAATTGTATGGACTGATGGAGAGCATAGTAACCAAAATCTGAAAGACAATTTACACCATGACCACAATATAAAGGAAGACTCCAGAATTCTGTTCAACGCAGTGATTAGCTAAGACTTCAGAGGACTGTTGGTGAATCCTCTGGGGAAAGAGATATTGGGCTATAGGTACAGGTCATACACTTTCAGAAATGAACACTGGCTGGTTTGTTTTGCTTTAACTGTATTCGTCAAAAGGGGAAGTCCCAGGGCAGCTAGGTGGTGCAAGGATAGAGCTCCGGCCTTGGAATCAGGAGGACCTGAGTTCAAATCCAGCCTCAGACACTTGACAGTAGCTGTGTGACCTTAGGCAAGTCACTTAACCCTGAGTGCCTCACCAAAAAAAAAGGAAAGAAACTGATTTATAAAAAAAAAGGGGGGGGGGGGGGAGTCCCATTTGGGGGTGGGAACAATGTCCCTGGGACAAAACTATGTTTAGTTTGAGAGTTGGTTTGTCTTGGGCTTTGGTATTTGTTTGTTTTGTTTTGTTTTGTTTTTGAGACAGAGACAAAGACAGTATTCTCTATTGTATGAAAAGTTAGGGATAGATTTTGAAGTTACAGCAGAAAAAAACTGGCTTTAACATCAGGAAACACTAGTCTGAAACCTAGCTCGACCACTCATAACTAAGCAACTCTAGGCAAATCTCTTTCCTTTTCTAGATATCAATTTGCATAAGGCTTTGAGGGTTACAATTCGGCAATAAGGAGAAAGTGCTATGTAGCTATCAGCTCCTCAAACCTCTCTTGCCTAGATCTCCTGCCGTATATGGTAGCTCTCTAGCCAATTCCTGGGCCCCAGGAACTCACATAGCAATGAGACGGGCCACTGTGGTTCCAAGGCGGTCAAAGATGTAGCCCAAGGGGAATGTCATGAAGTTGTTTGAGAAGGAAGCCAGGGTAAAGATGAGGGATAATTTTGAATCCTGAGTGCTGCATTCTAGAAAAGAGAGAATAGGAATAGTCAGTCACATGTCACTTAAAGCAGGTGCTACTATATACAGAGTTGTAACTAGGCAGGGTGACTTGAATGCTTCTCCAGAGTAGCAAAATTTAGAGGTCACCAAAAACATTGGTATCCCTTAGCAAGTAAGGGAAAGAATGAGCTTTGCCCTTAGGGAGTAGCAATAGTTAAGTTGACAGGATGCTCCCAGACAGCTTTGTTCCATCTACCCTTGTCCATAGCTATCTCAAGTGTGCTCGCTCCCTCCCTCCCTCCACCCCAATATCTAAAGAGTCAAAACTTGTCTTGATTCTTAGATACACCTTCCTCTCAGATCCATGCTAAAGTATTACATCTCCCTCTTCTCCAACTCCAATTCTGAGAATTAGAAAGGACCTTGGGGATTATCTCATATGATCCACACAAGAATAGAAATCCCTTCTCCACCATCTCCTTTCCCCATTTTCACTTGTAGACAATACTATCACCGTAGCATTTATATAGCATCTTAAGTTTTGCGAAGTGCTGGGCGGTAGGATGACAGTCAACATTTCTTTATCATTTTAAGTTCTGCAAAGCGCTTTGTTTACATCAATCTCAATGAAGCCTCGACAACCATCCCAAAAGGTAGATGCTATTATCCTCATTTTACAGATGGGGAAACTGAGGCCCAGAGAATTTAAGTAACTTTCCCCAGGTCACACAAACAATAATTAAAGCCAGGATTCAAATCCAGGTTCTCCAACTCCATTTAGCACTTTTCCTACTGCATAGCAGCTATCTCTTTTGGGACAGCTCACTGCCTTCTAAGGCAGCTTGTCTCACTTCAGTGTGGTTGTTAGAAAAGTTTATCCTGGAGAGTGGGAGAGAATTTGAAACTCAAAATTGCAAAAAAGAAAAAGAAGTTAAAAATTGTTTTTACATGTAATAGGAAAAAATGTTTAAAAAAAAAGATCTAAGGCAATTCTGAAGGACCTGTGATGAAAAATGCTAGCCACCTCCAGAGAAAGAACTAATAGAATCTGAATGCAGATCAAAGCATATTGTTGCTATGGGTTTTTTTTTTACTTTATTTTTCTTGGGGTTTTTTTTGTTTGTGTTTCTTTCACAACATAACTAATATGGAAATATGTTTTGCATGACTGCTTATGTATAACCTTTATCAATTTACCTGCCTTTCAACAAAGGGAGGGGGGAAAGAAGGTGTGAGAATTTGGAACTCAAAATTGAAAAAAAAAAAAAAAGCTAAAAATGGTTTTTACCTGTCCCTGGAAAAAATAAAATACTAAAATTCAAGAAAATTTTCTCTTTGCATTTAGCAAAAAAAAAAAAGTTTGCCTCTGCACCCATTGCCACCTGCACAGACCTGATCCCCCAACAAAAATGGATGAGAACTTCCCAGAACTAGACTCTTAGTATCACCTTAAAACTAGACTGGAAGGAGGTTCAGGAAACAGGGAGCTTTAGAAATATTACTTCCTGCTTCATTTGTATTTCACATTTCCTGAGACTATCTTCATTAGAGCTTCCCACAGTAATGAGGAGGAAGTATCATTTTTCCCATGCAACAGAAGCCCTCTCTCCACAGAGAGGTCAAGTGATTGGTTCCAAAATTACAAAGCTATCGTCTAGAGCCAAATGGAGTACGCGTCCTGTTTTTAAGGAAAGGTCTCCACCAAAGCTGGCATTTGAATCAATTCGTTAACAAGTGTTTACTAAACATTTTATTTGTGCCAAGCCCTGTACTTACAAAAACAAAACATTCCCTGACTTCAAGGGAATTCTACTCTATCAGAGCACTGCTTTCTCTCCCAGGAGAATCGTGGACCTATCAAATTGGAGAACCATGAGATAGAAGGTCACACTTCTTCCCACCCTCTATACTACTCGCCTAAGGTTCCCAACCCCCTGCACCAAGATCTTCCCCATAAAACATCCTTCATCTGAGACATTCCCACTGATCCGTATGGACCCCGACCCCCATATCAGAGACTGCTCCTACCTGAATGCCTCGTGGCATTCATCTGCTCACACAGATCCTCAAAGTAGTGATCACTTTTGAGAACGAACACCAGCGAGGTCCAGCCAAAGATCAGCCCAGAAAAGGCGATACATTCCAGTAGCCCCGTCAGGAGGGTGGCCACTCGAAGCGAGAGCTGAGGTCCGGCCATGAAGCTGAAACCGGGACACCACTGGCTTAGTGACAGTCCCGCACCCAATGTTCTCCCTCAGCAGGGGCTTTCTCTTCACTAACTGATTTCTGGAGTTGGCTCCAAATTCCCAAAGGAGGCGATGTCTCCGTTTTTGCTCCTTCCTCAAAGCAGGACCTCCTCCTTATTTGGGCTCCCTTAGCTCTGGGAACAACGTGCGGGGAGGACAGGATCTTTAGGGCTATGGAGCTCATCTACTCCCTGAAAGGCAAGGCTCGGACCTGACCTAACCTGACTGGAAACAGAGGATCGGACGGAGGAGAGTAAGAGCAAAAAAAAAAAAAAAGAGCAGAGAACAAATAAATAAAAGAAACCAACAGCTAGTTCTTTTACACGGAATGAGTCCCCATTAAGCAGCTGTTAGAACTAGGTGTTAGCTAGAAACAGCTGTGGAGAAGTATTGGGTGCATGGTTCTCTCTACTTATTAGCTGTCATTTTCTTTCACCATCCTACTTAACCCAGTCGCTTCTCTCAGCTCCACATTTCACTCCTCCTACCAGAGGGTCTTAATTTTTTTGTGTGTCATGGACTCTTTTGGCAATCTGGTGAAGCCTATGGAAACTTCCTCATAGTAATGTTTTTAAATGCATAAAATAAAATACATAGATTATAAAGGAAACAAATTCTTTTGAAATAGTTATTAACATATTTTTAAAAAATAAATTCAGCTAGTTTTTCCATGTAACTCGGGAAAGATAAAATACTAAATAAAAATTTAACATAAATAAATAAATAAAATCAGGGACCTCCGGTTAAGAACCCTCGGTTTGCATTGTTCATTACCCAGGGTAATGGCTCCCTGGGTAATCCTTTGTTCAAGATGCATCTCCTAGCCCTACTTCCAGAAATCTCATTTCCAAACAAAGTCCCTCAGCCATTTCTTTACGTTCATGCCTGTTCCCCCTGACCAGCAGAGGGAAGATCCAGAGAAACTGGGATTTTCCCAACCACAAACAAAAATAACACCTCTGAGTTACAATTCCCTTTTCTATACAACGAAGAGATCAGATTCTGCGACTTTTTCATCTGGATATCCCATGTCCTAAAATCCCTTCCCAGCTCTGCCAAACTGGATTCTTGGGGCCACTTCTCAGCTCAGGCATTTTTGTGTTCTAAGGTCTCTCTCAGTTGTGATATTGCTTTAAGGTCCCTTTTAGCACTCTTTTAACCTTTTAGCAATTTAATTCTAAATGTCTAGTCCATATTTCCAAAAATTTGTCCTCCCTTTCCTCTTCTCACCCCACTCTCCAGGGGAAAAAAAACAAACACACCCCAAACAAAATCCTGGAACTAGCTCTTCCACCCAACATACCTCTCTCTCCAAAGAGCTGACAGCAACTACGTTTTCCTTCCCAACCCTTTCTTCAGAGTTCTTTTCAGATTCCCGCCTTTGCTTCCCAATCTCTCTAGCCCCTCCTTTTTCACAAATGTGTTAGTTCACAGCCAGGAAAGGACCCACTTCAACAAGGGGCTTAGTAGCTCAGCATATCTGTCTCCCTGGCCCCAGAAAAGAAAAGGTCCCTTGTCCACAAACACTCAGCACACACACTCGCTCAGACACACACACACACACACACACACACACACACAGAGCATACACATACTCTGACTATTTAGATATGCAGCTTGTCACTTTCCAAGTCCAGATCCTCAGCCCAGGACTTGATCTTCATTCCCTCCTCTTCCAACACCTCCTTCACAGCTTCACTATCACCAAATGACAATCACTTTGCTGCCAACACCTTTGCTTAGAGGAACTTCTGCGCCGGAGCCTGCTCCCCAGAGCCCCCATTTCCTAACTTGTAACTGTTATTTTCAAGAAAGCCCCAGACTTGCTTCACTACCAGCTCCCTGGCCATTTTCTCCTAAGCCTCACCATTTTCCACATTCTTATCTCTTCCCCTCCACCTCCATTTCTGGAACAATGAGTCACAATCTAAATTGCTCTGCTATAATTCTTGGACTATGGGCAGCCAGGTGGCACAGTGAATATAGCTCCTATCCTGGAGTCAAGGAGACTCTTCCTGAATTTAAATCTGGCTCAGGACACTTACTAGCTGTGTGACCCTGGGCAAGTCATTTAACCCTGTTTGCCTCAGTTGACTCATCTGTAAAATGAGCCGGAGAAGAAAATCAAAAACCACTTCAGTATCTCTGCCAAGAAAACTCCAAATGGGGTTAGGAGGACACGACTGAAACAACTGAACATTTGGATGTTGTACGTCAATCTGCTCCTCTGTGATCCTCCCCTCCCCCACACTTATCACCATTGTAACTTTCCAGGCTGAAGTGCCTCTCCAAAGCCACCACTATGTGGGTGGTCTCTCCCCTTAATATGTAGACTCTTTGAGGGCAGAGGCTGGCTTTGGTTTTTGTTATTTTGTTGTTTATAACCCCAGAAATTAGTACAATGCTTAGCCTGCACAATAATTGCTTTTTCTATGTATTTAAAAGCTTTCTTTCGTTTGTTTTCATTTATTATTCAGAGCTCTCTCCTCACCTAGCATACTGGCCTCTGATAGGTGAGTTTCTGTCTCATTTTGCCCAGAACCAGGTCTTCGTGCCACTTCCCAGCTATCTACACATCCATACTCCCTGCACTCTGGACATCTTCCTCCTCTCCCTCCCATCCTGACCCTGAACTCTGCCTCCTGGGGTGCCTGGCTCTAATAGGTGACTTTTATCTTATCTTGTCCCCCTCACCCACCCATCCAGGCCTCCACACTACTTCAATCTCCATGTCATTTTACTTTCTGCCCACTGCCAAACCCTTCCAGTATTCTTCAGAATGTAAATTCATTGAGGGAAGGGACTGTGTTTCTAAATTATATTTGTGTCCCCAGCTCTTAGCCCTGCCACATAGCTATCACTTAAGGAAGGAAACAATTATTTATTAAGAGCCCTGTATGTGACAGGAACTGTTAAGTGCTTTACAAATATTATCTCATTTCATAAGCGCTATTATTATCTGCATTTTGCTGTTGAACAAATTGAGGAAGATAAAGATTAAATGACTTGCCCAAGGTCACACAGCTGGTGTCTGAAGCTTCTTTTGAACTCAGGTCTTTCTGACTCCAAGCCCAGTGTTCTGTTCACTGTGCCACCTAGCTGCTTCTAGGCAGACAAATGCTTTTTCCATCCATCCATGCATCAATCCATCTTCTCATCTAATTTATCTATACATCTAATCTATCTACCTTGTTCCCTCACTTCTCATGTCACTATCAATCTAGGACGTGATGCTAATCTAGCTGTCAATCAGAAACCAAGATGAACTAATTAAAACTCCAAAGTGGATCAAGCCCAAGTAGATAATTTTACTTAAACAAAGTTTTCTATATTACCCTTGTATGATTTTCTATAATACTCTTATTATTTCTATACTGCCCTTACAGGGTAATTTTAGGATCAAATGAAAATAATGCATTTAAAGCACTACATAAATGATAACTACTATTGTTACATGCTCTATGATCAGTTAAGGTTATCTCTGCCTCTGTAGAGTAGACTCCTTCAAAGTTGGACTCCCTTGTGTATCCTTAAGGTAAGAGCTGGGTTTTAGTATTACTAGCGAGGTGACCTTGGGAAAGTACCTTAATCTCTCTAAACTCAGTTTCTTCATCTGCAGATTGGGGATAATACCTATGTCCATCTGCCTATTGGAAATCTGAAACTGGATGTCCCATAGACATCTTCAACTCAACATGTCCAAAACTGAACTCATTATATTTAGTCCCCAAACCCTCCTCTCTCCTGAATGTCCTTATTACTATCAAGGGCATCTCCATCCTTCAGTCACTCGGCCTCTAGATCTAAATGTCATACTGGACTCCTCACTGTCTCTCGCCTGCCATATCATGCCATTACCAAGCCCTGTCAATTCTACCTTCATAACATGCCTGGCGTACACCTCTGACCCTAGCTCTCCACAGCCTGCACCAGCAGGCCCTCCCCACCTCACCCTTGGCTATTGTAGCAGAGTGCTGGTTGGTCTGCCTGCCTCAAGTCTCTCCCCATCAGTCCATCCTCCTCTCAGCTGTCATCTTCCTAGAGCAGTCTAATACTGTCATCCTCCTATTCAGTAAATTCCAGTGGCTCCCTATCACCTCTAGGACCAATAGAAAAGCCCCTATTTGGCATTCAAAGCCCTTTAGAACCTGCCCCCTTCCCCACCTTTCCAGTCTTCTTACACTTCACTCCCATTTGCATACTCTACTATCCAGTGACACTGGCCTCTAAGCTTCCCAATTCTAGGCATTTCCAAACCTGGCTGTTCCCCATGTTTGGGATGTTCTCCATTGTAATTCCTAGCTTCCCTGGCTTCCTTCAAATCTAAGCAGAAATCTCACCATCTTCCAGAACCTTTCCTAGTCCCCCTTAATACATAGTTGTCTGCATTGTTGTTTCTCCCCCCCCCCCCCCCCCCCCCCCCCCCCCCCC